CAGGCCTCCATTGGAGGGCTTGCAGCATCTATGCGGTGCCTGAGTGAGGCATCAACTTCTGAGAGTCCAACTCTAAGTGTGCTCTGACCTGGGCACCCGTGGCCACCGTGAACACATAATGCTCCCGCTGCAGCTGCAGGAAGCACAGCTGGCCAACAGCCCCCTGCTGGGCTCCGATTCTGCATTTTCTGACTTTTCCCATGGTTCTATATTAGCTCAGGAGGAAGAAGTTCTCCAACAAAACACCCTTGGTGAATCCTGAGTACTGTAGAAAATGTCACATTGAGGCTGGCAGTGTGGTGACCATCCCTATGGGCACGGGTTTGTCTTCAACAAAGCCTTAACAGATAACTCAAAACACAAGCATACACCCCTTGAAACACAAACATACACTCCTTGGTCAAAATTCATAATTTTAAAGCATAGCATAATACTAAAAAAAAAAGCAATTTCTACTCAAGGAAAGCTAAAAATTCACAAAGTCATATACAAGGCAAATAACAAAATATTATATTGCGAATTGTGGATGATATTTTGAATTTGACTGAAAGTTTTACAAGTAAGAGATCATAAAGAACAGAAAGCATGAAGTAATAAGTGCTACTGATAATCTCTAAAATGGTAAAAAACAGAACCACAAAAATTGGAAGCTGGGAAATGTAAACAAGGACATTACTATGTTTCAAAGCAAGGTATCTCAAGGGAATTTTCATGGTCCAAAAAACTTTCCAAAATGATAAAAGGAAACCTATGTTTTCAGAAGCTTTTTCTTTCCTTTCTTTTTAAAAACTTTGTTCATTTAAAAGGCACAATTGAGGAGGGAGAGACAAGGAAAGATCTTCCATCCATTGGTTCATTCACCGAATGACTTCAGTGGCTAAGGGCTGGCCAGGCAGAAGCCAGGAGCTTTCCAAATCTCCTGAGTGCAGGGTTCTAAACACTTGGGCCATCCTCTGCTGCTTTCCCAGGCACATCAGCTGGGAGCTGGATCAGAAACGGAGCAGCTGGGATTTGAACCTTGCTCTTAATAGATGAAGGCATCATAGGTAGTGGCTTAACCAGTGCACTACAAACACTAAAATTCAAACCCATAGTCTTTAGTATCTGAGGAATTACCACCCAGTACATTCATAGTTAATTTGTTTATGTTGCTGTTTTTAGGACTAGGTTCTAAGACCTGACATGGTGGTTGTCCTCAATGTGTATAGGCAGATATACATAAAACTCTGAACTATTTGGAGAAAACCCAAAGTCTTTCTTCCTCTGTCATAGCCAGCACAGTTCACCTTTGGTCACCACAGTGGGCGAGGGGCTCTGTCTCCTCACACCATCAGCCAGTTCTCTGCAGGCGCTCCATGTCCTCTCACCCAGTCCCCACACTGTTTGTCCAGAGATGACGCAGTTCCCAGGGACTGAGTGCTGCTTCCCACAGGACTGGCCTCTGTACCAGATGCCTGCTAGGAGCTCCAGCTATGACTCACATTTCTGATCCACTGGTTATCCATTAGGGCCTCCATGACGTCCTCTTTGGATTTGATTAATTTGCTAGAGTGACTCATGCAACTCAGGAAAACTTTACTGATGGTTATCAACTTATCATCTTGTGCGTAAATGATATTACAAAGGAAACATATGAACAGACAGATGGGCAAGGTGTGGGGAGAGCTCTCCACCCTTCCCGGTGTCCCCCCTCTGGAAATGTCCCGTGTCCAGCTCTGTGAGAGCTCCTCTGAACACAGACTTTTTGTGGGGTTGTGAGGAGTGCTTTGCTGCGGTATGGCTCTTGCAATCCATGTGATGATGCTTTGCCAGTGCTATTTCCATTTTGAGCTTATTCTTATGAAACAGGCTATAACTGGGCCAGCTACCTAGCTGACAGTCTCCTTTCACATCTGGCCATTGATCACTGTGTGCTCATATGCAAATGAGAGACTTGTTAGCTGGACTATTTCCCTCCAAAATTGATATCTGGAAACTGAGATGACCTGCCTTCTGGTTTCTTGCTGTGACTGTGACATGGTGTGAATAGGCAGAAATGTTTAGGTCTAACTGAATTTGAGTTTTAGCCAGTCCTGCAAGGTAATGCTCTCTCTTTACCTAACAGTCTAAAACATCCACCTTCCCAGGATACATTTGCATCTAGTTTGAGACAAGAAAAGAGGAGGCACCATGATGACAACATGGATATTAAACTGCACGTAGAGGTACCATAAAGCATCCTGGATGGCTTAGGCAATTGAAGCACCACCCTCTACCTCATAAAAGACTGTTAGAATGGAGGGGGAGCCCTCTTTATGTCCAATCATGGTTGGGGTACTCTCCATTCACTCTCTCTCTCAGCAGCCCCCTGAGCCCATGGTGGGTGTTTCCTCCACGTGGGGTAGCCCACACTCACCTGTGAATGCCTTTTAAATACATCCTATTATCACTTGTACATCTACGTGTGCTTTTAATTAGAATTCCTATCTCTGTTGGCAAGTGGGTAAGAACCTGGATTTAAAAAGAAGTTACTAGACCCATGTCAACTCCACTCTTGGTGAGTATTCACTCTGAAAACACAGCAGCCCCTCTAGAGGCCTTGTGCTGGCAACTGCATTGTTAGCACCCCCCACCCATGTGAACCACATCATCTGACTCTCCACATCATCTGATGATTTCTCCTGTGAATATGCTTTGGTTGGCTAAACTCTTTGGTGTTGAGTTGGTTATTACCAATGTGAGTAATTTTCTTTTACCTATAATTTCATGGATTCCTTTTGCCTATGCTACTTTTCTGTGTGTTACAATAAGTTTTCATTAGGAAGCTCAGACTGTCATTTCATAAAAGATGCAACATAAAATAAAATAAGACCATTTGTCTTGAAAGAAAGATGATCTTGGAAGTTAAATAGTACCCAGGTGTTGGGGCAAGCAGACCACCTGACTGAACAATCCTGAGAGACAGACATCATTTCAGCAAGCAGAGTTGACTCAGTCAGCAGTAACCTACTCAAGCCTCAGCCTCCAGTTGGCCAGCCCCATCCTGAGCCAATCCAGGCAGATTCAATACACTTTATTCAGGTATTTGAAGGATTTCATGAGCTACATGTCAGGAAAAGGGGACTAGGACCAAATAGATATTTCATAATATTATAATAATTGTTTCATGACACAGGCTGACACTGAAAACATGCTTCTACTTATTGAATACAATGCTTTGCCCAACAGCACTAACGGACCTGGATTGCAGAAGTCATCCAACAAGCATTCATTGTCTCTGCTCTGCAGATTGGTCCCTCCTTGGCCGACAAGAGGATGCTGACTGTGTTGCAAGCACCTAGGGGAGTGGTTTACCAGAAACCACCTGAAAGTGGGACTAATCTACCTACTGATAGAAACACTGTACCTTGATGTGGTTCCATATTACACAAAAGAATCACAACTGGGAAGTCATGTGCAGGGACAGGCTCATGGTACAAGCAATCATGCTGCTGCTTGAAACACCCACAGTTCACAACATAGAGCCTGGGTAGTCTCGCCCTTGCTTTTGAGCCAAGTTTCTGCTGATGCAGAAGGTAGTAGGTGATGGCTTATGTACTCAATGTAGTACTGACTCCTGGCTTCAGCCAGGGCCAGCTCAGTCTGTTTATGGTCATTTGGGGAATAGCACAGCTCCACAGGCTATGGTTACAGAGAGAGAGAGAGAGAGAGAGAGAGATGAACTAAGTTTGTGGAGCAAAGCAGGTGTGCAATGTAATCAGTGACATCATTAGCCGGGGATCAATACCTGGGCTTGCGTCTCAGTTTTGTTCCTCATGGCAAAGGAGTACATCCTGCTGATCCCTGAATGCAACAGGTGATGGCTCAAAGACCTGGTCTCGTCCTTCCGTGTGCGAGACCTGGATTGAGTTCTAGGCTCCTAGTTTTGATCTAGCCCTAAAACTGTTATATTTGGGAAGTTAACTAGTAGATGTAAGATAGCTCTCTGGCTCTCTCTCTCTCTTTCTGCTTTACAAATCAATATATTTTTTTTTTAAGAAGAGAGGAGGTCTCACAGCATGAATTTCTCCAACAGATTCTGAAGTAAGATGATTGGCTAAAGAAAATCAGAAAAAGACAATCATTTATTTTAAACTGTAACTCAGTGAATGAATTGGTAAGTGCACAAGCTCTTAGAATATTTGTGTCTACAGCATACCACCCTGAATGTGCCCGATCTCATCTGATCTTAGAAGCTAAATAGGGTCGGGCCTGGTTAGTACTTGGAAGGGAGAATATCTGTATGCAAACGGCTTTAATAAATGTTGGCTACTCTAGTTTTGATTATATGTATCTGAAATGTCACAGCCCTTTGACCCTTCTCACAAGGCAATAGGCCTGAAGTCGTCCCTATGCCTTTTCGTTGCTAGGTAACTTATTTTTAAAATGTTTTTCTTTATTTCTGAGATGCAGGGAGAGGACTGGGTGGGTGGGAGGGGTGGGGGTGGAGAGTCCGTACTGATATCCCCGGCAGCGTTCAGACTCACAGGTTTTGATGAGTCTTCATTTTTGCAGTAAACAACGTAAGTGGAAAATTTGGATTCAACAAGTCCACCGAGGAGGGACCTGTTAATGGCTGAATTTCAACTTGGGTGTCCCAGGGAGCTTAGCCACAGGCTAAAAGGGCAGGCGGTGTGGAGACAGGGAGAGCCCTGGAGGTGCTGTCTGTGGTTCCCCATTTCCGATCCTGGTTTCTGCCTCTCCAAGGCAGGGGACGAACGCCTTTTTCCCCTTTCATACTCGCGCTATCTCTATTCATTTCCTCCACGTGCGCTCAACCGCATCACGCAGTGGACGCACTGGATGCGTTGGCCGCGGCGCGCGCCTACGGGCAAAGTCAGCGGGATCTGCTGCGGGAGCCTGCGTTCCCTCAGCCCAGGCGCCCGCCCTCCACCAGGGTCCATGGAGGTCTGAGCCACAGCGCTTGAGCTGCCCCCCAGCACCGCCTGGCCCGGGAACCGAGGCTGAGTCCCGAGCAGACCATGACTCCAGTCCTGCTGGGCCGAGGCCACTCGTTCCCTGTGCTCGTTCTGGCCATGCTGCTCTTGGACTCCCTGGGTGACAACTTAATCTTTCTCCCCGAATGGAGCTTTGACTCCTATGAAATCACCATCCCGGAGAAGCTGAGCTTCCGAGCGGGGAGGCAAGGTACGACTAGCCCCTTGTCCTACCTCCTGCGGTTAAAAGGCAAGAAGCATGTCCTCCACCTGTGGCCCAAGAAGCTTCTAATTCCGCGACACCTGCGTGTTTTCTCCTTCACCGAAGAGGGCGAGCTTCTAGAGGACCACCCGCATATGCCTAAGGACTGTGTCTATCTGGGCTCAGTGGAAGAGGCAGAGGATTCGGATGCCACCCTCATTACGTGCATGGGGGGTCTCCGAGGCGTACTGAACATCGATGCCAAACAGTACCAAATGGAGCCCCTCAAGGACGCTAACCATTTCGAACACGTCGTCTACCTCCTGAAGAAAGAGCCCTTCGGCAATCAGACCTGTGGCTTGACTGATGATGTGGTTCAACGTGAGATGCGCCACGGCAGAGCTGATGATAAGCTCAGAGATTATTCCAATTCTTACAAGCACCAGAAATATTTGGAGCTGCTCATGGTCTTCGATCAGGGGAGATACAAATTCGTGAACAGCAATCTTTCTCAAGTCGTAAGCGATGCCATTCTTTTGACTGCAATGATGGACACATACTTCCAAGAAATCAGTGTGAGAATAACTCTGAAAGCTCTTGAAGTATGGACAGATTTTAACAAGGTGTATGTCGACTATCCTACTTTATCTGACGTTTTAAGCAGGTTCTTGGTATATAGACAGCACGATCTGTACCCCCGACTTCCTTCTGATTGGACACATCTGTATGTTCACAGGAAGTACAGTGATGCTCTTTCTTGGTCCTGGGGTAAAGTGTGTTCTAAAATTGGCGCTGGATCCATAAGCACCTTTATGGGTGAAAATGTCCTTGGACCTGCCACCTGGACTACTCACGCAGTGGGCCATGCGTTGGGAATGCAACATGATGAAGAATATTGCCAATGCAAGGGTAGGCATAGTTGCATCATGGGCACAGGGCGCACTGGGTTTAGTAACTGTAGTTACATCTTTTATATTAAATTTGTGTCTGTTGGAGCAAATTGTCTAAATAATATCCCAGGACTAAGTTATGTGATTAAGAGATGTGGAAACAAAATTCTGGAAGACCATGAGGAGTGTGATTGTGGCTCAAAGAAGGAATGTAAAAAAGACCGGTGCTGTGAACCCAATTGTAAGCTAAAACATGGTGCCAGCTGTAGCACTGGCCTTTGCTGCCATGCCTGCGAGTTCCGTCCCTCTGGATATGTGTGTAGGCAGGAAGAAAATGAATGTGACCTTGCAGAGTATTGCAACGGGACCTCGGGGTTCTGTCCAAATGACATGTATAAGCAAGATGGAACCCCTTGCAAGTACCATGGCCTTTGTTTCAGAAAGGAGTGCCGGTCCAGATTTATGCAATGCCAGAGCATTTTTGGACCCGATAGCTTGGAGGCTCCTAATCGATGCTATGAAGCAGTTAATGTAGAGGGAAATCAGTATGGTAACTGTGAGATTATAGGAGTGAGTAGCTATAGGAAGTGTGATAAGGAGAATTCAATCTGTGGCAGGCTGCAGTGCATCAATGTGAAAAGCATTCCTGATTTGCCTGAGCACACGACTTTAATTTCCACCTATCTGCAGCGAGACAACCTCATGTGCTGGGGCACAGGGTACCATTTGTCTATGGAACCCCTTGGGATCCCTGATGTGGGTATGATAAATGATGGCACATCTTGTGGGGAGGACAGGGTATGCTATAACAGAACATGCATCAACAGCTCCGCCCTAAAGTCTGACTGTGTGCCTGAGAAGTGCAATGGCCGGGGTGTCTGTAACAATCATAAAAACTGCCACTGCATCTACGGCTGGGCCCCTCCCTTCTGCGAGGAGATGGGTTATGGAGGGAGCGTTGACAGTGGGTCCCCAAGACGGGCCAGAGATGACATGCCTGCATCAGCTGAGACTATGTCTATTATGATGCTGCGCCTGATTTTACTGGGTGCCTCTGTGGTTGCTGTATTTTTCAGGCAAGTGATCATAAAATGGTGTACAGCCAATCCTGAAATGCCAAGAGATTAAAAAACCCAAGGTAAATAAAGTCAGGAAGCCCACAGAAAAAGAAACCAAGTGATCCACAGTCATTTGATAACACAAGCCCAGTTACTTAACAAGCTAGCCCTTTATCCCAAATCACTTCCTTCTCCTGATACCTTTTAGCCCACATTTATATTATGTCAGATCAACAAATAAATGTGATTCTTGCTTTGGAAATAAATCAGTGCCTTTTATTCACCTAGCATGCACATGTCCCTCAGTTTGTGATCAAGTTTTTGGTATACTGAAATGAATGTGCTAAGGGTGTCTTGGAACATACCATTCTGAGTGTGGGAGGATTCAAGGAGATAGCACTGTTGGACAGGGCAGCCTTGTCTCAGAATCCCAGCCAACACAGGTGTGGGCTGCCATTTTCTCTCTGTCTGAACTAGATCAGTGTGAACATCTGTGTATGCAGCCCAGAATGCATGAACAATGCTGACCACACATTTTATGGAAAGAAGGCCTTTGGTACAAAGGATGTCTTGCGATAAGTACTTGCCTTGTTATGGCCTCTCTACAAGGCACTGAAATGCTGCCTCTGTGTGGTCTTTGGCCCAGGGCTTGGGGTGACCTCAGATGGTGTCTGCATCACACCACAATACAGTGTACATGGTGAGAAGGCCATTAGCAAAATTCTGTTTGGGTGTCTGCTTGCACAGGCAGGTCATGAGTGGGTGCTGAAGGACCCCTGCTTTTGGCTTGCCACACTCCAAGCTAGCACACAGGAGAGTCGGGAGTGCCCTTCACCGCCCAGGACGCCATGTTTCAGTTTCCAAATTTACTCTCTTTGCACAGAGCTCTCCGTTGGAGGCAAAGAGGACCCAGTGGCGCCTTCAAAAGAGTCAGTGCCCACCTCTTAGGTGCCATCTCTCCCAGACCTGAGTTCCTTCTGGTCTCGTCCAGCGCTGCATCTTCTGCTGTTCTCTCATCTTGTGCTGTGCTCCTTTTATCCCAGGAAGTGCTGCAGGCTCACTGTACCTCACCCTGCTCCATGCTCCTGAGCCACACAAATAGTGTCTAAACAGGAGGGTGGGGCAGGCAGCAATGGCTCTTTCACCTGATGTTCGGGCTATTTTTTACGCAGAGCAGAAAATCAAGTAAGTCAGATTTTTGTGACAATCACGCTTGTCATGAGTGACTATCACCAGAAGATGAACTGAAAGATCAAGTATGTGAGTTATGGATGATTGTCCCTAACGATGATGGAGATATTGATTGAGAGTTCCCTAGGCACCAGGCAATATACTAACAGCAAAGGTGTACTAAGGTGCATGCTGCTGAAAACAGCTCTGTGAGGCAAGTGTTAATATTTCCTCCTGTTCCAACAGAGAAATTTGAGGTACAATGAGGCTGAGTGTGTATCAAGATTGCACAACTAGGGGCCAGCATTGTGGCATAGCGGCTAGCCATTGCCTGTGATGGGGCATCCCAAATGAATTCCTGCTCAAGTCTCAGCTGCTCCACTTCGAAACCAGCTGCCCACTAATTTGTCTGGAATAGCTGCTGAAGATTCCTGAACTTCTGTGGCCCCTGCCACCCACACGAGGGACTCAATGAAGTTCCTGGCATCTTGGGTGTGGCCCAATTCCAGCCAGATGGAGAGTGAATCTGCAGATGGAAGATCTGTGTGTGTGCATGTGTCTGTGTGTGTGCACGCGCGCGTGTGTGTGTTCCTCTCTGTGCAGTTATGCCTTCTAAATTAATTTTGTTCTTCTTATTATTCAAGTACATTTATCATTTTGCATGATATAATCTTTTAGGCATAGGGATTCTTTTCTCCCTGTCTCCTCCCCCACCCCATTTTCCTCTCTCACAGGTTCCCTCCAAGTTATCACAGTAGTCTCTTAAGTAACAGTTACAAAGTTGACTTCCTGCTATTTAAATCTATGATGACATGATAAGTATAAGGAAAGGTTTTTAAAAAATCTAGCCTCATACTGTAAAATGAGTAGATACAGACAAGTATATGCAAATATTCTCACAGCTGAACTGTATAATGGAGACTAGCATACTAGAAAGTAAAGTTACATTGCAGTGCAGGTGTCTACTCCAAAATAAAAGTAAAACTTCCACTGAAACAAGTACATGAAATATTTTTCTTAAAAAAAAAAAAATAGATGGGAGCCATCATTGTGGCACAGTGAGTTAAGCCACTGCCTGCAGTGCCAGCAGTCCAAATGGATGCTGGTTTATGTTCCACTTGCTCTACTTCTGATCCAGCTTCCTGCCAAGGTGCCTGAGAAAGCAGCAGAAGATGGCCCAAGTGCTTGGGACCCTGCATCCAGGTGGGAGACCCAGAAGACGCTCTCCTGGCTCCTGTTCCAGCCCTGGTCTTTGCAGCTATTTTCAGGAGTGAACTGGCAAATGGAAGATCTCTCTCTCTCTCTCTCTCTCTCTCTACCTTTCAAATAAAAAAAAAAATTACTAAACCAATAAGTAATGACCTTATCAAAAGAAACGTATACAAATTAGAAAACTGAAATTAAGAGACCATATCTAAAGCTTTGGGTATGGTGTACAATATTTCCCATTTTTAACTATTTTCCTATGTGTAGTTCAGGAGTGTTATGTGCATCCACGTTGTCAGGTAAATCACGTCTTAGGAAACCCCCCAAGTACTGGTTTACTTTCTAAATCGCCTCAGTGATCTGGGTCTGGCCAGGCAGAAGCCAGCGTCCTGGAACTCCGTCGTTTTCATGAAAGACAATAATGTTTTATTTCTCTCTTTATTTGCTCTGTGACCCACTGTTCATTCAGGAACATATTGTTCTGTATCCATGTTGAGAATTTTCTGAAGTTTTCGTTAATTGTTAATTTCCAGCTTCATCTCATCATGAGCAGAAAAGATTGATGATGTTTCAATCTTTATACATTTGTTTTATGACCTCGCGTATGATCTATCTCATTGCTCTGTAGGCTGGTGAAAAAATATGCATTATGCAGCTGTGGGATGGAATGTTCTATATATGTCCATTTGGTCAATTTGGCCTGTAGTGTAGATTATCTCTGTTGTCTTTTGTTGATATTTTGTCTGGTTGATTCAGTCCATCAACGAAAGACAGACATTAAACGTCACCAATATTATTATACTGGAGCTTAAAAACAATTTTTTTTGAAAGGCAGAGTTCCATACATTTTGCTTACTTACAATTTCCCTTTGCATTAAAAATGTTTTTCCATCTTTTCATATTCTTTTTAAAAATATTTATTTATTTTTATTTGAAAGACAGATCTACAGAGAGAGGGAGAGACAGAGAGAGAGGTCTTCCAGCCTCTGATTTACTCGCTAAATGGCTCTGATAGCCAGAGCTGAGCTGATCTAAATTTGGGAACCCTTAGTCTCTTCCTGGTCTCACACAAGGGTGTAGGGTCTCAAGGACTTGAGTCATCCTTTGCTGCTTTCCCAGACTGTGAGCAGGGAGCTGGATCAGAAGCGGAGTGGCCAGGACATGAACCGGCATCCGTTTGCTATGCTGCTGCCACAGGGTGCAGGATTAGCCTGTTGGGACCATAGCACCAGTCCCCATAATTTCACTTTTAGTCTCTGTGTGTGTGTCTTTACTGATGAAATAGTCTTTCCTTTTCTTCTTAAACATTTATTTATTTATTGGAAAGGCAGATTTACAGAGAGAAGGAGATACAGAGAGAAAGATCTTCCATCATCTGTTTCACTCCTCAAAAGACTACAACAGAGCTGAGAAATCTTAAGTCAGGAGCCAGGAGTTTCTTTCAGGTCTCCCATGCAGGTTCAGGGTCCCAAGGCTTTGGGTCATCCTCTGCTGCCTTCCCAGGCTACAATCAGGGAGCTGGATGAGCAGTAGAACAGCTGGAACATGAATTGGCACCTAAATGGGATCCAGCAAGCAAGGCAAAGATTTCGTCACTGAGCCGTTGTGCTGGGCCCCTGAAGTATTCTTTTTGCTAGCAGCATATAGTTGAATGGATGTTTTGAATCCATTTAGTTAACCTGTAGCTTAATTAGGGCGTTTATCACATTTATATTAGAGATCATTGTTGATAATTGAATGGCCCTGCCATTTTTCCATGGAATTCCTATAGTTTATTTTCAATATCCTTTGAGACATTTCCCAGTAGGTTTCCTACCATCATGTCTTTCAGAATGCTGACTGCCACTGTCTCTGTGGGTGTACATGTTTCAGTGCCGTTTGTAGGGATACTTGAGCGGTGACGATTCTTGGAAGTTATAGAAAATCTGCATTTCAGCTTCTTGATGAATGAGGACTTCAGTGGTTCACGTGTTCTCTTGACTCCCTTGAGTAATCACGCATTCATTATTCTGAATTCTTAGGCATTTCATCCTTTTCTTCACAGTCAGATGTTAATGCACTATTGTGTTCTTTCTGGGGAGTCATAGTGCCATGATTACTCGTATGCTTTGTTTTTGGTTTTTGTGTATTCAGGAAAAATAGCGATTATATCTCTTTTAGAAGATGGTTTTGGGAGCAAGCCGATCCTCTGCCTGAAGTGCCAGCATCCCCTATGGGCACTGGTTTGTGTCCCAGCTGCTCCACTTCCCATCCAGCTCCCTGATTATGAGCTAGGAGAGTAGCAGAGGGTGAGTCAAGTGATTGGACTCCTGAACCCATGTCAGGACCCAAAGGAAGCTCCTGACTCCTGGCTCCAGCTTGGCTCCGTTCCAACTGTTGCAGCCATATGAAGAATCAACCAGCAAATGAGAGATCTCTCACGTGAGTGCATGCTATCTCTCTGTAAATCTGCCTTTCAAAAAAAGTAATCTTTTAAAAAAAGACAAAAACAACAACAATGAAAGCAAAAGGTGGGTTTTGGGGAACAGTGGAAAACTCCACTGTCTGAAATTCGAATATCTCGTATGGGTTACCAGCTCTTAGCCCAGGTGCTCCACTTTCATCTTTTAAAAAGACTTATTTTATTTTTATTGGAAAATCAGATATACAAAGAGGAGGAAAGACAGAGAGGAAGATCTTCTGTCCCTAATTCACTTCCCAAGTGGCTGCAACAGCCAGAGCTTTGCTGATCTGAAGCCAGGAGCCGGGAGCCTCTTCCTAGTCTCCCACATGGGTACAGGGTCCCAAGGCTTTGGGCCATCCTCGACTGCTTTCCCAGGCCACAAGCAGGGAGCTGGATGGGAAGTGGAGCTGCTGGGATTAGAACTGGTG